GAAAGTAATAGAGCAAGAATTTTAACCATATCTGTCTGACTGCAGAGGCCATGCTTCTCCTCACGGCACGCACTCACGGCTGGTTGCTTGGTTCAGATTCCCTTGTGTGTTCTTCACAGTGGCGTCCACAGGGTCCTCACTTTCCACAGATTCTTATCGGTAGACAGTAAGTACTCTCTCTGACCACTGGGCTCAGGGCTTGGCTCCTCTGAGCCCAGATAGTTGGCTAGAATCTGAATACTCCCAGCTCTGCGCGTCCCTCCCATACCCACTTTCTTGCTTCTGCACACCCTCCACAAACCCCACACCTCTCTCTCTTGTCTCTCTTTGCCTAAGCAGTCAGACTTTCCCCAGACCACAGGGTCCTGGGGCCTCTGTAAGATATCTCTGGATAGAGTTGGGGAGAAAATGGAGCTGTGGATTAGCCAAAGGCCCAGGGGAAAGAAACCAGACTAAGACCAACACTGCTGCCTCCCCACAGCACAGCACCGCACCTCACCGCACCCCACCCCACCCCACCCCACCCCACACACTTACAGGGCTCCAAACCCCATCAGAATCCTGCCCCTTCACAGCCACCCCCTCCCCCAGTCAGAATCTTTGCTTCAGGCTCCCAAGCCCTTGGGCTAAGCCCCACCCTCTCCCAGCATCCTAAAGTTTGGGGGCTGCATTCAACTGAGAGATTTGCAAGAAGAGGTGTGTTGGAGGGACTTCTGCCAGGGCACGTGTCCTAGGAAACCGGGGAAGGGGGCAGCCACCGCCGCTGTCTCGGAAGACATCCACGTCGCTCCCTTCCAGACCTTCTGCCCTTTCCCCCTCCCACCAGCCCGGGAGAGCAGGGACCGAGCTTGCTTATTGTCACCTGACGCTGGGCAGCCGCTGATCCCATTGGTGGAGCCAGATTGGGTCTGGCTCTCCCGTTCCTTCTCGTCTTCGCCGCCTCTCTCTCCTCCACGTCGCTTTGCTTCTGCCTCTCCTTGTGCTCGGCTGGGAACGTCGCCTCTCTCCGGGCAGCGACGCGCTGCGGAGCAGCAGGGGCTGCTTGCGGGGCATGGAAGAAGCCTCCTTCGCGGCCGTGAAAGGAGTCAGAGGAGCCGGCGCCAAGCGCTGCTGCTGCTGCTGCCTGTGACCCGCGCATCCAGCCCGCTGCCCCTCTGCCTGGGGAGCCCACCCACACAGAGCCCTCTCCCTTCCCTCCCTTCCAGGTCTCCCTCTGCAGAGCCTGGTGGAGCCAGGTGAGTGCCCTTCCTCTGCTGTCAATCGCGACGGGGACTTGGGTGGCGGGGGGCTAGGGGCTGGGGCCACTAGGGTCCTGCCACTGCTTGCAGCGCCCACCTGGACTGCCAGGGCCCACGACCTTGTCCCCTCTCCCCCAGGCCCCTGGCCAAGGGGTTAACAGCTGGATCCTGTCCCCAGGGCTCCACAGTCAGTCACCCCGTGAGCATTCTGCTGCAGTCAGCGATGCCAGTGGGGACAGTGGGGTGGCATATGGTGCTTTTCTGAATGAGCATGGGCAAAAGGGACCATGGCAGTGCGTGCACCATGCTTGGGAGGAGACCGGAGGTTTGCCTGCGTAGATAGTTCTGTCTGCGTGCACTTGTGTTCATGTGTGGGTTTTAACTGCCGTGTGGCATGTCTCGGAACATACGTCTCTTATACACGTGAAGCACATGTGTGTGGGATCACTTATCTGAGTAGCCTGCGAATGCATGTCAGTAGGAACAGTGTGAAGCCGTGTTTTTGTGGGTGGACATATCCCTTGTCATGTGTGTGGGAGTACATGTTGACCGAGGGTTTCTATGTGGGAGGTACGACTCGAAGCAGGAGGGGCTAGGTGGGTGGGGAGTGTGGGCAGAAGCCCCTGCCTGTGGTCAGAGCTGCGTAGGTAGGCAAACCTGTTGGCATATGAAGGCTCGACTTTGGCAGAGTGTGGCCGGAGACAAACGTATTTTCAAAGTCTGTGCGTGTGAGCCTTGAGAAGACTTGAGGGCGAATGGCAGAACATGGGCAGAGGTTGACGTGTGTGCAAATAAATATACGTGGTGTATCAGCAAGCATAAGGGTTGCATGCCTTCTGTGGCAGTGGCATGCATGCATGTTGCTGCCTGTGGTCCCCACCCCCCTAAATTATGGCTTTGTGAGAAGGTGTGCGTACATACGTGTGTGCGAGAGCCTGTGGACTTAAGCATGTGAGCGCTGTGTGGAGGTGACAGCTAGTGGAGGGGAACTTGCTGGGCAGTCTTAGAATGTGGAGCGTGGCAGAAGGTCCCTGGGTGCATAGGGGAGTGGGTGGGAGTGAGCATGTCTGAGGAGGTGTGTGCAGCCTGTCTGTGGGCATACTTGGTGCGTGCACGTGCGTGTGCATGTGCGTGTGTGTGTGTGCGCAACTGCGCGCACACACACTCTCTCGAATGTGCGCGCCTGCCTGCCTGTGGGTGTGTGACTGCTTGTCTCAGGGTGGATTCACACAGGAGAGTGGGTGTTTCTCAGGTGTTGTCTCAACCTGTCTCTCACACCCTGCCCTTCCCCGGTCATCTGGGCTGGGAGAACTGGGGTTTGTGCCCACTTTTGACCCACCCTGGCTCTGCTGATCTCCCAGTGTCACTCATGCCCACTCTCCCAGGCTCGCGTGGGAGTAGAATGTAGATGGGGAAGGCTGACCCACGTCCTGATCACCTCAGTGCCAAGCACGCTACCCTGTCTCTGGGAGACTGAGGAGTACTGAGGCAGGGGCAGGTGGCCCCCTCCCTCACTGGGTAGGCGTGGACTGCATCCCATGTGGGTGGGAGACAGCCACCGAGGCCCTCCCTGGGATGGGAGTATGTCTGTGTGGGTGTATGTGGGTGCATGTGTCAGTGTGTGTGAGTGTGTGTGTGTGTGTGTGTGTATGTGGGGGCACATGCCTGTCTTGCTGGGGAGCTCCTCACTGGGACCTCGCAGGATGGCATCTTCTCACCGCTTGCTAATGTCCCAGGAATTACAAACTGGTTTCTTGTGTAGTTGTTTCTGGACCCCCTGTCCCAGTCTGCTTTCTTTTGTGGTGGGCGTGGCAGCTCCCCCAGGTTCACCTACCACAGGATTCACCAGGCCACTGGCGTAAGGCTGAGTCTCACAGCGGGCAGGCATACACTTTAGGGTGAAAAGCTAAAGGTAACAAGGACTCAGGGAATACCTTGGGATGGGTAGGGGCCATCGCCCACACCCTTTGCCCTGTGCCTGCCCACAGATTGATTTAGAGGTGTCAGGCTCCAGAGCAGGCTTAGTTGACAGGAAAGTGTGGGCTGAATCTTCTGGAAGCTATAAATAGAAGTACCTGCTTTCGAAGGCACAAGGTACCCTTCCCCTAGCGCCTGGGTGAGGAGAAGAAGAGGGAAGGAGGAGAAAGGAGATGACACTCCAGAAACCTGAGCTGGGCTGGGACTGGGCTGGAGGCAGACCCAGGAAGCATGAGCCTGGGTACTGAGCAGATGTCCCAGGAGAGAGCCCAGCCCACACTCAGGCTCCTATCCCGGAGACTTGGTCCCCTCCCGCCCCTCTCCCTTCCCCACTCCGCTCTCCAGGGCTCCAGAGTCAGGGCTAGAGTCAGCACTTCCTGGCTCAGCACAGTGAGAGTGGTGGTCCTTCACCCCTGGTGGGGCAGCCTAGGGAAGGAGTGCAGGGGAGGCGGGAGGGGGGGAGGGGAGTGGGGCTGAGAGAAAATGCCATTGCTTGAAAGAAAAGGACAGAGAAGGAAAACTAAATATCTGTAAAATTATGTGCACCTATGCATACATACACGCCACACATGTCATTCACACACACACACACACACACACACACACACACGAGGGAACACAACTTGCACGTAATGGTAAAAGGTTGAGTGCTCCAGAGTCAGATGGACCCGAGTTGGAATCATTTTAAAAAATATATATATATATTTTATTGATTTTGTACAGAGAGGAAGGGAGAGAGATAGAGAGCTAGAAACATCAATGAGAGAGAGTCATCGATCAGCTGCCTCTTGCACACCCCCTACTGGGGACATGCCCTCAACCAAGGTACATGCCCTTGACCAGAATCGAACCTGGGTCCCTTCAGTCCCCAAGCCGACGCTCTATCCATTGAGCCAAACCGGTTTCAGCTGGAATCATTTTTTAACTGTCTGGCCTTGGGCATCTTAGTACCCCCAACTTCAGCCACCTCACCTGTAAAATGGGTCTAATAACAATACCTACCTATTGGGAGCTTACATGAGATGCCGTTTGTGAAATTATCAGCATTTGGTTTGCAACAGGTGTCAAAAGTAACACTAATTACTTAAGAGAATCAAGTGCCAGAGGAGGAAAGAATATAACGGGGAAAGGGGGAAAGAGAAAGAGCGATAGCTGGAAGATGATGGCCGGGAAAGATCTGCAGCTTGTCCTCCCCCTGCCACCCGTGGGTCCACGTGCACTTGCACTCCCAGCCCTGTGTGGTGGTGACTCCTGTGAGTCACCCCGGAGAGGAGGGGTCCTGACCTCCAGAGCCCTGGTACCCTTGGCTGCTAGTGTCCTCCTCCTGCCTGCACCCTCACGCCCATCTCCTTGCTGGGTACTTCCTGTCTCCCCTAGGCCTCACACTGTTCTCTCCACCCCTACCCCTTTCTCTTTCCACGCCTGCTGGCTGAGGGCCCCCTCCTCGGCTCCATCTGCTGAGAATCTGTCCCGCCTGGCGTTCTCCGCATTCCCACTGCCTCTGCCACCTGTCAGGTGCCATCTGCTCTGCAGACCCCTTTCGGGAGAGCCAAGAGCCCGGGGGACGTCCATCCCACCTTCAGTCCTGCCCTCTAGTCTTCCCTGTGCAGCCTTTCCATTCGATCCGATGGGGCAAGACGGCTCCTCCAGGTCCTGCCTCGGAAGGAATGCTGGGAAGAGAGAGATATTGCCGGAGACTGCGTGGCAGGGCGGGGGGGGGGGGGAGGGGGGGTGCTAACGCTCCCGCTCCTCTCAGTCCCCACAGGAGCCAAACCGAACGGCAGCATGGAGCTGCTGTCCACTCCCCACAGCATCGAGGTCAACAACATCACCTGTGACTCCTTCCGCATCTCCTGGGCCATGGAGAACAGCGACCTGGAGAGGGTCACCCATTACTTCATCGACCTCAACAAGAAGGAGAATAAGAACTCCAACAAATTCAAGCACCGGGTGAGCACGTCCTCCCCGCACGCCGGGAGCTGACGGTGGGGAGCTGGGGAGGCCTGATCCCAATCCAGGCTCTGCTTGCTGTGTGGTCTTGGTAAAGTTAGTGAACCTCTCTGAGCCTCAGTCCCTTTGGCAGCCCTTGTAGACTTTTGAGAGGCATCAGTGAGGTAATGTTTGTGTGCCGGCTGATTCGAGGCCCAGCACACAGCAAATGCCGTTATCGGCGTGGCGACTAGGGCTTCAGAGAGGCGGGACAACCGGGCGGGCCACGGCATCACACCGGGAGGGGGGGTGTGCCTGCTTGGTGGACTGGGTGGGTAACACGGACTGTGGGCAGCGGTGGGGCCCTTTACAGGGTCCCCCAGGCCCCTGTGATCCTCTCTGCCCCTGGCCCTCTGGCCTGTTTGCTGGATTTAGAAAACGCATGTGAGAGAGTGCCCTGCGAGCTGGGGCGTCCTCTCCCCGGGTTAAAGCTGGGGTGGGGATGGGTGGGAGGAAGGCTCCCATCTTCTTAGCTGGGAGAGAGGCAGGGGAAGAGTGAGGTGGGAAGAAGCCGGTTCCCAGGACGACGGCATCATGTGGGTTACTCACCCTCTCTCTCTGGAACTGGCTCCCCCGATCTGGGTGTCTTTTGGCAGGCCAGTTGCCACGGTGACGTGAATGTTCAACACCACCCCCTTAATCTCCTCCCAAAAGAATAAGGCATATTTTCCCTTCCTCCCTGGCTTCTCAGCATTGGCGTTGCCGTGGAAACGGCACTGCAGTGTGCAGAGCTCTCGAAGTCTCCCTTGAAAACCGAGGTCTGGCCGCCCTCAACTTTGTGGGCTTCCACCCCAGTGGCCTTTCTCCTCCGTTCCTGAGAGAAGGGGCGTCAGGGAGCTGAGGGTGAAGGAGGCTGGGGAGTGTCTGCGTGGCCTTCCCAATGGCCGCTGCTTGCTCCTGCAGGAGCCTGGTGGCCAGGACACCCAGCCACCGAATTACCGAGCCTCTGGCCCTCTCCAGAGTGGGGGGAGCTCTGAGGAGAATGCCACAGTTGGGCATGACCCCCAATGTGACTCCTGGCTCTCTGTCTGCTCCCCGTGTCTCAGGATGTTCCCACAAAGCTTGTGGCCAAGGCCGTGCCACTGCCCATGACGGTGCGAGGCCACTGGTTCCTGAGCCCCCGCACGGAGTACAGCGTGGCGGTGCAGACGGCGGTGAAGCAGAGCGACGGGGAGTACCTCGTATCCGGCTGGAGCGAGACAGTGGAGTTCTGCACCGGAGGTGAGGCCCTGCCGTCTGTGCTTTTGTGCATCCGGTTTAATGATAGTCAGGAGGGGGCTTCGTCTCTTTTTATGTATCTGTATCTAAATCTATGTCTATGACTATATCTACACATCTATCTACCTCTATATATAGATATTGATTTCAGAAAGGAAGGGAAAGGGAGAGAGAGAGAGAAAGAAACATCCATGATGAGAGAGAATCACTGACTGGCTGCCTCCTGCATGCTCCCTCTCGGGCATCAGGCTCGCCACCCGACATGTGCCCTGACTGGAATGGAACCGTGACCTCCTGGTTCAACCACTGAGCCACACTGGCTGGGCAAAGGGGCTTTGTCTTAACATAACAGATACTGTGACCACCTGCTTACACCAGCGCCAGGCTTAGGCCTTCAGGTAGATGAGACCTGCTTCTGCCCCCACCACCACTCTCACCCTCACCCCACCCCCTCAAAGCCTGTGGTGCAGGAGGCAGATGTGAGCACTGCTAATCATGGTGACAACGTCATTTCTATAGAGGGCTGGAGTCACTTTTCTGGCTTGGGGCAAGCATGTTTTTCTGAATGGTGGTACAATGCCCATAACATAAGAGCTGCTATCTTAGCCATTTTAAGGGTACAGTTCAGTGGTATTAAGTACATTCACTGGGTATGTCACTAACCTCCAAAACTTCTCTTCTTCTTCCCCTACTGGGACTCTATACCCACTGAACAACACCCCTCCCCCCCCCGCCCCCGAGGGTAACCACGCAGCATTTGTCCCTCTGTGACTGGCTTATTCCCTTAACATCGTGACCTCCAGATTCCTCCGTGCTGTGGCATATGTCAGAATCTCCTTCCTTCCTAAGGTGGGATAATACCACGTTGTGTGGCTAGACCGAGCTTTAGCAATCGTTGGTCGCTGGATGCTTCGTGGAGCAATCACATTTTGCTCGTCCTGAGCCTTCACGTAGCCTGAGAAAACGATCCTTGTTCAGCAGTCCCACAGATTCTTGTAGCAGAACTCAGCTTGGGAATTCCGGCATGAACAAGCAAAAAAAAACAAACAAAAAAAACAAAAACAGGCTCAAGTGTACTTGCTCACTGATGACCCAGGTTCTGTCCCCGCAGCATTCTATTCTTTTGGTGTCCATGGTGAGAACTGCCCCAGATCTCCCTCTGCCACAAGGAAGGGGCAGGGGACGGTTTTAGCCCTGGGCTCCCGAGGAGGCTGGCTCCACCCTCTGCCAAGGCCTGTGCCCTTTGCTGTGCCCTTGAGCTGCTGTTCTCTTTTAAGCAGTGCTTTTTCTTAGCCCAGCTGCACACCCCACTCTCTGAAGGTGCTCCCTCTCACCGTGGGGAAAGCCTCTCAGTGTACCCCAGAACGCCACGTGCAGTGAGAACGTAATTCGAACAGGGGAGCTGGGGGTGGCGGCAGTCCAGCCCATAGTTCTCTTGCAAAACCCTGGCCAGGGCTGCATCAGCAAGGAGGAAAGGGCATCTTTTCGAATGTGCACCGAGGCGCTGTCGAGGCTAGCAGCAGCCCTGCTGGGGCCTCTGGGTCTGGGCTCTGGCCCTGGCCCTGGCCCTGGGGGAGGGTCCAGTTTCATGCATGAACAAGCAAAAAGCCAGGCTCATGGAAACACGACCTTGTTCCCATGCTTTTCTGCTTTACCTGGGATACGAAGTAGAGTCCTCGCCCCAGACCTGGTCCACCTACACACTCACCTCAGGGCTCCGCAGGCTTTCCAGGAGCCTTCCTTGTAATGGCAGCTCGCTTCCCCGTGGGTGGTGTGGGCAGCCTCTGACCTGCTGGGTTTGAAGGCTCTCTCTTAAAGGACCTCAAAATCTCCCCCACTCAGTCCTTCACCTGCCTGCTGGTCCTCCTTTCATAAGGGCCTAGGACGGCCTGGGCTGACAGCCCCGGGGGTGGGGCTGTATTGTATTACCGGGCAGCCCGGCCCTTGTTGGAGGCAGAATCCCGAGCCTCTGGCACTGAGGGTGCAGAGGTGATGAGGACAGACGGCCTCCAGCTGGCCCATTCCCGCGTGGTCCGAGGTGCTGTGAATGTCTGGTGTCCCCTGCTGCTCTGAGCAGGGAGACAGGCTGGCATTCACCTTGTGGGGGAGGGCGGGGGAGGGCCTGTAACCCTGCCTGGTGTCGGCTCACCCTCCTGCCCTCTTGCAGATTATGCCAAGGAGCACCTGGCACAGCTGCAGGAGAAGGCCGAGCAGATCGCAGGCCGCATGCTGCGCTTCTCTGTCTTCTACCGCAACCATCACAAGGAGTACTTCCAGCACGCCAGGTGCGTGCAGCCCCGCCGGGCCCAGCAGGTCCCTCCTCCCTCCCCCGGCTCTGCCTCAGCTGCCAGGCTGTCACCCCATCCTTGTCAACTGCCAAGTCCTCTGCACAGAGTCGCCATGCCCTTCCACCACAGGCTGACTCTGGGCTGGGGGATGTGGGAGGGGGGGGTGGAAGGAAGGGGATGCGGGGGGTTGGGGGGTGGCTTGGGATTGAGCTCCAGGAAAGCAGAGGGCACTCAGGATAGAGCTGCCTGGGGCACCTGTGAATACAGGCCTGGGTGAGTGAGGCCCCAGGTGGGATCCTCTTTGAGGCAGTTCCTGTCCTCCGAAAGGCAGGTAGCCCTGGCTCTGAAGGGGAGGTGGTGAGGAGGGTACAGAATGAGTGGGTTCTGAGTACGAAGGGTGTGGTCTTTACATTGTCTGCTGGGGAGCCTGTGGGTCCCAGGGTGTGTCCCAGGCAGGCCTGAGGGTGGTGCTGAGGAGTCGGTGAGGAACTCCAAGGATGGAGCTGGGTGGACCTCACACGGACCAGTCAACCTGAGCAGTGTCATTTTATTGCCTCCGCCTACGTATAATTCCCTTTGAGGAAAAAAGAGAGGGGTTCCCCATCCAAAAATTCCTGATCCAATCGATGATGTCATCCAACACCTTCAGCCGGCATAGGGGGAGCCTGAGACCCAGAGGGCCAGCAATTCGCTAGACTTTTAGGACAGCCAGGACCAAGCAAGAGTGAGGCTGGACCAGGGGCTGCCCATCCCCCATGGCTGCTGACACTGCTCCAAGTCCATGTCCTCAGGCTGGGCCAGGACAAGCCACCATCAGTACTGTCTATCTTTATTTATTTATTTTAAAAATATTTTTATTGATTTTTTACAGAGAGGAAGGGAGAGAGCTAGAAAGCTAGAAACGTCGATGAGAGAGAAACACCAACCAGCTGCCTCTTGCACACCCCCTACTGGGGATGTGCCTGCAACCAACGTACATGCCCCTGACCAGAATCGAACCTGGGACCTTTCAGTCTGCAGACCGACGCTCTACCACTGAGCCAAACCAGTTTCGGCAGTACTGTCTATCTTTATCATGGTGTCACTCTGACCCTACCTCAGGGCTGTGGGGGTCTGGGAGGGCCTCTGATGTTTGCACTGAAGAAAGAGAGGCAGTGAGGTGAGTGGTTAGGGCACCGGCCCTGTTTGGGTTTCTCTATCAGAAAGCAAGCAGGAGACAGAGAGCACCATGTGTGCCAGAATAGAGAGAGGACTCAAGGCAGAATTCCCTCGAAACCGTCTATTGTGGGACAGTCCGGGCCGGTGGAATGTGATAGGTGTGTGTGATGGCTGAGTAAAGTCCAGTGTCCCGCACATAGTAGACAGTCCAGTTTTATTGAGTGCAAGTGTCTGGTGTTCTTGGAAGCATTTAGAGAGAAAGGGGTACCGATGCTGGGTCTTGCCTGATGAATAAGTGTTTGCCAGGCCAGGTGGAGAGAGGTGGGACGGGAAGTCCAGGCAGAGGGCAGGGCACTGCAGAGGCAGAGGCAGAGGCAGGAAAGAGCTGGGGTGGGGTTCCCCTGTGGCTGGAGATTGTCACGTGTGTGTGTGTGTGTGTGTGTGTGTGTGTGTGTGTGTGTGTGTGTGTGTTGGTGGTGGTGGGGGTAAGAGGTGGAGCCAGAAAGGCCAGATGGTAATGGCCTTGCTTTTCCCTCAAGCTCCATCCAAGGGCTTTCTGCTGGGGAACAGCAGGTCCAGGCCTCTCCTCTGTGAAAGAGAGTGGGCTGGATCAGCCCATCCCCTCCCCGCTCTCGCATTCTGGAACGTTCTATTTGTGATGGGCGGAGGCGGTGGCTGGTGGGAGAGCTGGGAACTGGGCCGGCTCCCTTCTTACCACACACACAAGGCAGCCAAGCCTGGGCCCCTCTCACCCGTGGCATTTTCTCTTCCCTTTGGCGCTGCTGCTGTCCGTGGGGTGTGCAGGACCCACTGCGGGAACATGCTGCAGACCTACCTGAAGGACAACAGCGGCAGCCACGGCTCCCCCACCAGCGGCATGCTCCACGGCGTCTTCTTCAGCTGCAACACGGAGTTCAACACCGGCCAGCCCCCGCAGGACTCCCCCTACGGCCGCTGGCGCTTCCAGATCCCCGCCCAGCGCCTCTTCAACCCCAGCACCAACCTCTACTTTGCGGACTTCTACTGCATGTACACGGCCTACCACTACGCCATCCTGGTGCTGGCCCCCAAGGGCTCCCTGGGGGACCGCTTCTGCCGAGACCGCCTGCCCCTTCTGGACATTGCCTGCAACAAGTTCCTGACCTGCAGCGTGGAGGATGGGGAGCTGGTCTTCCGCCACGCCCAGGACCTCATCCTGGAGATCATCTACACGGAGCCCGTCGACCTGTCCCTGGGCACCCTGGGGGAGATCAGCGGCCACCAGCTCATGAGCCTGTCCACTGCCGACGCCAAGAAAGACCCCAGCTGCAAGACCTGCAACATCAGTGTGGGCCGCTAGGGACTCCCCGGGAGCTGGAGGAGGGGGGGGCCAGGGAGAAATGACAGGCGGGTGGTGGTGGGTGACTTACCTTCAGGGAGCTGGCTTTCTCTCTCCTGCCCCCCTACCCTCTCCACGCTGTCAGCTCCCCTTCCCCTCCTCTTGGCATCAGAGGGAACAGAGGGTGGTCCCCTTGGTAGGCGTGGCCCACCGCGCCTGGTAGACTGGGAAAGGCTCTTAGCCTCCGCAGGTTGGTGGGGGCAGGGGGTGGGTTCCTGGAGACGTGGGCTTGCCTCTGCTTTCCCTGCCCTGCTATTTCTCGCTTCATCCCAGGCCTCCATCGCACGGAGATGTGTGGCCTCTGGGCTCTTTCGGGGAAGCCTCTCTAGGCCAAAGCCCACAGGTAGCCTGCCTGCCTCCAGAGGGGATGCAGAGCTGTGGAGTCCTCTTCCTTAGCCCCACCCACCCCTCTCGGGACCACCAGAGGGTGCCCCTCCCTGCTCAGCCGGGCCTGGGGACTTCCTACTCCAGACCTGGCCTTCCCTCTATAAATAGTGGCCTGCACACCCGCGTCTTCCCGCCCCGCGGCACCTGCATGGGGAGAGCTGTCCCCCCTCACCTGCGCTCTAGAAGGGGGCCCTCTTTTTCCTCTTAGCTTTGGGGCGTCCAGGCTGCTGGGATTTGTCCTTTGTTCGGGAGATAACGTAGATCCGAGAGGACCTTCTCCCTTGCCCCCAAACGCTGAGGTCTGGAACGGCAGCTACTGGGGTCGAGGAGGGGGCGAGAGACCCCTGAGACCCAGAGGGACCCCTTTCTGAGCTGGGAGTGGGTCGCCTCTTGTTCTGAGGGGCCCGGTGTGGAAGTAGACCTGAGGGCTTGCCCACAGAGCCCGGCAACCGCCCGGCCGTGACCTTGCTAGCTCTCCGTGATCTGGACTGTGGTGTCCCCGCCACCTGCCTGTCGCCCCCGCCCGCTGGCACTGTCTGCACTGCCCCATTCGCCTATTGGAGAGCCCCTTCCCTGGGGAGCTCCTGCTGGAGGCTGCCCTGGCCTCCTAACAGCATTTTTACCTGTTTTCCTACTTTTGTACGGGTCACCACGGTGGTGGGGGTAGACCCCCTGAGACAAGCAGGCCGGGTGGGTGGGGAGGAGTGGGATTGATGGAGGCAGCTAGCTGCCTGGAGACGATGGAGGCGATGTCAGGTGGAGGAGAACAGCCTCCATAAGTGACAACCCGGTTTCTGTGATGAAGGCCAGAAGGGGCCGCAGGCCAACAAGGCCATGTCTCAGTGAGGGGCAGGTGGGACAGCTGGTCGCCTCTTCTGTAGCCACAGGGAGTGGTGTAGTCAGCTGTCTCAGTGGCATGGATCAGGTCTGGGGCCTGGGAGATGCATGGAGCAGGAGAGGACATGGCCCCCAGGCCCTCTCCCCCTGTGCCGGCAGCATCGCTGTGCGGTGGCCCGCTGCTCTCCCTCGGCCCCGCGTCTGCCCTGGGCTGGGGCGTGCCTGCCTGTGCTGTGCTTGCGTTGTGTACCAATAAACAAGCCGCCATGGCCCGAGAGCCCCGCCTTTCCTTGGACTCTGGGAGTGCGGGTAGGCACATCGTACGGTGGGAGGAGCTCACATGGGCATGCCCCCAGGGACAGGCCTCCGGGAATTGTCTCCAAGGGTGTCCCGAATCTTACTGCAGGAAGCAGAGCCACATCTCCTGCTCGGAAGGGACTTCGGAGGTCATTTGGAGTTGCCCTGCATGTTGCAGGAGGGGAAACTGAGGCCTCTTAGGAGAGAATCTGTACCCATCTGGAGGCTTAACCAAGGTCCCTAGGTCCCCCATTTGGAGCCCTTCCCATTGCAGCATCAGACTCAAACGCCAGTGAATTCCACCCCCCACCCCAGGCCCTGTCCCCTCCCCAGCAGGGCTCCTCTTTTGCAGATCTGAGTCACCTCGGTGTCTCTTATTATGGACTTATTAAAATGATCCTCGGCTGGAGTGGAAAAGCTCCAGAAAAATGAGAGTCACCTCCCTGACACAGCCTGGCTCAGGGCCAATGAGCACGTGTCATCAAACCTCCTAACATTAGGAAGGAGGGCAAAGACCACTTCCTGAGGGCCTACTGTGTGTCGGGCATCTCGCCAGGTGGTTTCATACATCAGCTTGTGTAGCCTTCCCCATGGCTCTGTGCCGTATTCACATTTAACAGGTGAAGAAACTGAGGCACAAGGAAGTTCAAAGGCTTGCCCATGGTTTACAGTCAGTAGATGACAGTGGCCAGGATTGAATCAGACGCTGGCATCTTCTCATGTCACTGCCCTGTGTCCCCTATTGTGTGCCAGGGTCACCCAAGACGGTAAGACACAAGCAGGGCCGGCTCAGACACAGTGGCCCTGGCCAGGGTCTCCTCTGGCTGACAGAGGCCGGTCCTAATTCCTGAAAACACCAGGGGGGGCTGTGGAGTCAGAAATGCCCAGGAGGCTTATTTAAAGGGCTTGGGCAGCAGTGAGTGAGCACCAGGGCCTAGCTTTTCACCTCTGGGCAGGAGCCCCTGCCTCCTGCCAGGAGCCTAGGCGTTTTCAGCGCCCTCCAGAGGCGAGGCTCAGGCTTCAGTCTTCCTTTTGTGACTCCTCCTGGGTTTGTTAGGAGGGGAGGTTGGCTCCCAGCATCCTTTTAGTGGGAGTGCAGGTGGCCAGCGGAGGCAGTGTGGGTGGTCCTGGGGGGTGCCTGTGCAGGCTTCCTCCAGAGAGCTGCTCTCCGCCTGCCCTGTGCTGCCAGAGGTGCCAGTCAGAAACGCTGGGCCAGGGCATCTGGTTTAGTCTGCACAGAGGCCTGCATGGGAGAACACACACACCACACCACACACACACACACACACACACACACACACACACCCTCCTTGAGCCTGATTGATTTAGAAGACAGCCTTGCTGGTCACGGAGAGCTGAAAGGTGAGGGGCAACCTTGGACTGCAGTTGCCTCTGTATACAGTAAGTTAGCCCTGCTCCAGGGCAGGGAGAGAGGAAAATGAAGTGGTGGCCACCAAGGGGCACCTCTGACAGCCAACACATACACATAACCACATGCACTAGCACACACACACACACACACACACATGTGCGCACACTTGCTCCGACATCTGCTTCCCTGCCCAATCCTTCCTCCTGGGCCAGCATCTTTCTTTGAATCCTGGATGGAGTACAGCCCCCTTCACACTGGGCCTGCTCAGAGAACCCTCACCGATTCATCTGGCTTCAGGACGTGTCTCTTTTCCATGTTGCAAAGAGAGGTGGCTGGAGTCCCTGGGACAGGGACAGGCGGGGACCGTTCCCCGAAGTGGAGGGAGGCCTTCAGGAAGCTGAGCTGAGGTGATTGGCCATAAAACAGCTTGGCCACAGCATCTGGAGGAGATTGGAACCAGATGTTCCTGGGAGGGGGGCAGGGAGACTGAGGGCTGGGAGGGGGCTAGAGCAGGCGAAGGGGGCTGGTCAACAGGAGGCTGGGTGAGGGGGTTCGTGGCTCTCTGGGGAGAACATCTGGCTGCCCTCTGCCCCACTCCCCGTCAGGCACTACGAGTTTTTGCAAAATGGAGCAGCAAATCTTTTCCAGGACTCCAGAGTCAGCCCTGTGCATAGGGACAGTCAAGCACAGGGTGGGACTTGGGAGGTGCCCAGAAAGGCTAGCCAGAAATATGTCCCCTGCTCTGTGAGCCCTGCCTGGCTGTGGGTTAAGCAGCGTCTTTTCTGACAGTAGTTCTGTGCTACGCTCCAGATGCCCAGCTAGAAACGTGTGGACCAGAAGTCTCCTTCTGTGATGGGAAAAGAGTGGTCCAGGAACCGGAAAACTGTCCCACGGAGGGAAGGAAAAGAAGGCCCATTTACAGGCTGTCTTCAAAGGTTTCTTTCATTCCCTCCGTGAAGCCCTGTGAGGTGTCATCATCCTATGTGTCCAGATAAAGAACCCGGGGTTCAGAGTGGTGAAGTGACTCACCCAGGGGCACAAAGCCACCAAACGGTAGAGCTTGAGTTTGTGTTCAGATTTGCTGGGGGAGAGAGGGGAGGAGAATCAGAGAGAAAAAGGATCGAGGGGCAGTGCAAGTCCTCACTGCTGCTGGGGATCCCAGTGGCTTCAGGAGCCCAGCCCAGCCCTCTGGCTGCCTGGAGCCTGGGCCCTGGGTTTTCTCCTCGCCTGTGGCAGGAGAGGTTTCTGGGCAAAGGCAACAGGCTCGGGGAGCAGAGGCCCAGAGAGGGGCAGCTGGCCAACGTCACAGGGCGAAGCATGGCAGAGCCAGGTCTGCTGACTGCCGGCTCGTGCTGTCATCCTGTCCTCCCGGGCCAGGGAGGTGCTCCTGGGGGAGGCGGGGGAAGCTCCAGGCTATGTGGCCATCTCAACCGGGTTACCAGGGCTGGGAGCAGAGCCCGGGGCAGGTCCATCCTCACTCTTTCCCTGGCCGTGCACTCAGGACCCAGGGAAACCAGGGTCCTCGAGGGCCTTGGAGACAGGGGGAAGAGCAAGGGGGCCTTCCTCCAGCGTGGGACCACCTGAGTGGGTGGATGGCAGCACTGAAGCTGGTCTAATTTAGAACCCGAAGCAGCCAGAGGGTGAGGGGGAGCTGGGCCCTGAGAACACGTTAGGTTTGGGAGCATCAGTGGCCTGCAGGCAGCTCCTAGGAGGCCTCCCCTGCCCGGTGGCAGCCTCTGGAGACGGGCCCTGGGAAGACTGGAGAACCTGCCAGCCCGAGCGTCTGAGTCCTCATAGGGTCCGGATCTATGGTGGCGATGGTCTCGGGACTGGTGCCCAGGGTGGCTGCTGAGGGTGATCCTGAGCTGCCCCGGCTGTGGTGTTTATTCAGAAGCCCCGTTTGAGGTGGAGAACCAGGGACTCTGTGGCCTGAGCCCCACAGTCTAGACGGAGGCAGGAGCCTGGTTCCCGCTGTACCTGTGGCTTGTGACCTGGGAGCGCGTCCTCTGAGCTTCAGAGGAACCCTGAGGGCTGGGGAAGGCCGCTGTGACCACTGGCTCCCAATTTG